ATTAATTTTTTCTATGGTTGAAAAATATTTTCGCCATTATAGGTAATTCCTATATAAGGTGGCGCAACAAAGTTATATTTTTTCTTATGGAACACCCGGTATATTATGCGCTTATTTGAAAAAGTTTTTAATTCTAAGAATATCAATATCAAATTTTATGGGACCATCATGGACCGTTTATTATTTGTGGGCAATTTTATGAAAAAAAAGTACCATTTTTGAATAATCATAAAAGTGAATAAAAACAATTGCAACCATTTTTACTGAGTCTGTTGACATTCGCAAAATATCAATTATCTTGATTTTTTCAAATGAAACACCCTGTATGTTATTACTTTATTGGGTAAAGCTTATAATAAGCTTTCTAAAAAACCTAGGGTTTGGAGGTCTAAACCTTACCTGTTCTATTGTACATCTTTTTAAACCTACAAAATTTTAAATAATTCTATTTAGCCTTAAAAATCAAGTAGGTTTGCATTTAAAAAAATTACTTAAGATTAAAATAAATAAAAGAAATGTATACCTTTTGTGCAAATAATTAAAAACCATTCAAGAAATTTGTAAACTGTCTTAAAAGTTTTTTCTGAAACCTTAAAAAGTACTAAAAAATATTATAATCGTGCGAAATAAAAAAAAAACGCAAAATTAAATTCTTCATTCTTATAATTCATTAAAAATCCATTTTTGATATATGGATTTTACTTATTTTGACAGAATTTGAGAAATAATAGCAAGAAAATGTTATATTTGATATTGTATCAGAATCCCCCAGCAGCTGGGATTTATCGTCCATTAAAAACAACGCAAAATGAGGTTAGGTTAGTGCTGCCAACGTCAAGAATTGATTTTTTGTAGGGAATTTCTATCAGAGAAATAATTAATAATAAAAATATGTTATAATTTAAAAATATCTATCAGAGAAAATTTTTTTTCAATTTTGTATTCTATAGAGTTGATGCCCCATTTTCTAAACAGTTAAGGTAGATTTCGTAAAAAAATATTTTTTTAATCCTATTGTTTGTTTTTATTTAAATGCAAAAAAATAGTATTTTCTAGGTTGGCGACGCTGGTTAGGTTTACAACAGGCCCGATTAGTCTTTTGGCCGAAAACTGTTTTAATCAAAATAATAGGTTTTAATTTAAGTTTTTGAGTAAATTCTTATTGGGTAATAACGCAATTGACTCAAATTGGTTTAAAGTAAGTTACAAGCCAAATATTTGCGTTCGAACTGGTCGACACTCGTGTCACACATTGACATTTCAAATCTAACCTCGAAATTTCCGCATGTTTTCTTCGCCGTAAAAATGTCCACTGAGGTTTATTTAAGCGAAGCCGAGTTATTTTGTGACGCTGACGAAGACACCGCTCTCAGTTACCCGAGTGAAGACTCCGAAATTGACTCAATTTTGGCGACTAAAACCCAGCGAAACCCCCAAGTGTCATCCCACAAAGTGAGTTCATACCAGCCCCCCGCCAACCTATTTAAAAAATACTCCCACAAAATCAACATTGACGATTTGCCCAGCCATGCCACCAACTCGCTCAAAGCCAGCGAAAAGCGCCAAGAAAACGAGAAAATCCGCCGCAAAGACAAGCACGACCGCGCCACCGCTGAGCAAGTGATGGACCCCCGAACCCGAATGATTCTGTTCAAATTACTGAACCGGAACGTCATTTCGGAGATAAACGGTTGCATTTCCACGGGCAAGGAGGCCAATGTGTACCATGCGAGCAGCGAGGGGGGCCACTTCGCGATCAAGATCTACAAAACGTCGATTCTTGTCTTCAAAGACCGCGACAAGTACGTCAGTGGGGAGTTCCGCTTCCGGCACGGCTACTGCCGCCACAACCCCCGCAAAATGGTGCGCACTTGGGCTGAGAAAGAGATGAGGAACTTGATTCGGATGCACTCGAGTGGGGTGAACGTCCCCGAGCCGATTTTGCTGCGCTCCCATGTGCTGGTGATGGGGTTTGTGGGGAAAAATGGCTGGCCTGCACCCAAATTAAAAGACGTGGAGTTGAGTCAGTCAAAAGCACGGGAAATTTACAGAGATGTTGTTGTAATCATGTGGAAAATGTACAATAAGTGTAAATTAGTACATGCGGATTTCTCCGAATTCAATTTGCTTTATTTGAGTGGAGAAATCTACGTTATCGACGTGTCACAATCTGTGGAACATGACCATCCACATGCCTTGGAGTTTCTGCGGAAGGATTGCACGAATATTAGCGATTTTTTTAAGAAAAAACAAGTTGCAACGATGAAAATCAAAGATTTGTTTGATTTTATTACGGATCCGAATATCAATGAGGGGAATATGGAAGAGTGTCTTGAGACTTTGGCCGAAAAAGCCGCCCAACACACTGAAATAACATCAGAAGAACAGGTAAAATATCTTCAAAAAAATTAGTCATAAACAATACAAATAAAAAATTGTAGTCCGGTCAAATTAGTCATAAAAATAGTGGTCAAATAACGAAAATTGCGACAGAGCTAAATTTTGGTGGAGACCTTGGGTACACCATTAGAAATAAACTGTCAAAAGTCCCCATCGATCCCAAAAAAGTTATTCGTGGTCAAAGGTCAAAATTTGACGTTTTTAAATTTATTTCGGAAACGGTAGGTTTTATCAAAAAAGTAGCCCAGACAAAAATTATAGATCTTAAAATTAGCTACAAAACGGTCTTTATACTTTTTTCCTAAGAATCACCATTCCTGAGATATCGCGATTCTAAGAGTTGTAAGAGTAACGTTCTACGTCATGTGCACATACAGAGTGCGCCAGAACTCGCGTCCCAGAGAAAAATGACATATAAGGTAAGATACCAGGAACATGGAAAAAATGTTAAAAAAATTCTATCTGTCAAATAATTTTGACATTTATTTTTTGACATTTGACAGTTTTTTATGTCTATTTAATGATACTGATGATCTTGTATATGTTTTTTTATAATTATTTATTAAAGATACAAAAATTTTGTCAATGAAAGCCACAAAGAACATTGAACAGAGTTGCAATTTAGGATACAGCTTCCTTGATTCCTCTTCTAATAGCTTGTAGCAAAAAAATTTGGAAAATTGTTTTTCCAACAGAAATAAATAAAGGCAAAGTGCAAAATTTAAACTCTCATAACTTCGAAATTTTTATAGATAGAATTTTTTTTTAATTTTTTCCATGTTCCTGGTAACTTACCCTACATAGCATTTTTTTGGAGGCGCGAGTTCTGGCTCACTTTGTATGTGCATAATATCATGTAGAAAGTGACTCCTTCAACTTTTAAAATCGCAATATCTCAGAAATGGTGATTCTTAGAAAAAAAGTATAAGGACCTTTTTTGTAGATAATTTTAAGGTCTATCTTTTTTGTCTGGACTACTTTTTTGATAAAACTTACCGTTTTCGAAAGAAATCCAAAAAACCTCAAATTTTTACCTTGACCCCGAAGAACTTTTTTAGCACACATGGGATCGATGGGGACTTTTGACACTTTATTTCTAATGGTGTACCCAAGGTCTCCACCAAAATTTAGCTCTGTAGGAATTTTTGTTATTTGAATTGTCTATTTTGACCGGACTATTGTTTTTCGGATCTTCTATACAGGATGTTCCGTCTAAACCCGACATTAAAAGTATTGGGAGTATAATTCATTAAGTTCTCATAAATGAAAATATTTTCAAGATGGCGACACTTCCGCTTATAAGTCGGTCTCAACTTTCTTATTTTAAATGGAAAGGTAAATTCAAAGCATTTTTTACATAGAAATTCACAAAATTCGAGAAATTAACTAAAACAAGGCAGAAAATTACGAAACTAAATTTAGAAATGGGTTGTTTCTTATTTTTAGAAATCCAAACCGTTTTTTTTAATTTTATTGAAATTGAAAAATATCGTTAAAATAAGATCAAAAATTGGAAAATTAGGTGAAAAATTTGTTTTTTTTTTATTAAGTTTTGGAGTGTTATAAACAATTCCTAGAAAGTTTGTCAAAGCNAAATTCTAAAAGTATGTCTAAAATAGCTTAATTTTAATTATTTCGACAAATTTTTAGCACTTTTCATCGAAACATTTTTTTATTATTTTTTCGTTAATCATTTTTTTTCTCTTTCCCTCTATTTTTTTTTCCATTTAAGTAAATAAAAAAAATTTGCCAAAACAAACTTTGAATGCAACAGAATTAGAAAACATAAAAATTAAAAAGTAAAATTAGGTAAAACCAAAAAATTGGAGGAAAACAAAGAAAAAAATAAGTACTCGCAAATATACAAAAGCAGTTTTCTAGAATTTTAAAATTTCTAAATTCTAGAAATTTGATCTTCATTTTTACAGTTTTTTTTACAGGCTTTTCCATCTAAACCCCATTTTACAAGTATTGGGAGTTGGAATAATCGTATTTATTTGAAAATTGGTACATAGCCATAATCCATTAAGTTCTCCTAAATGAAAATATTTTCAAGATGGCGGCACTTCCGGTTATACTGGAAGTTGGTCTCAACTTTCTTATTTTAAATGGAAAGCTATATTTTTTACTGCGTTTTTGGATTAATCGGGTTATTTCAAGGGAGTTTTCATCAGCTTTTCCTATACTTAAATTTAGCCGTTTTTGAAATATTTAGAGTTTTTCAAAAATTTTTGGATCTGCACCTTCCACTTTAAAAATCGGTAACTCTGCCATTTTTTAAGATTTTGAATTCGTTTTTTTGGCGTTTGAAAGAGAAAGTTTAGATCTTTCTTTCGTTGTTTTCAAATTAAAAAAAAATTAACAAATCATAAAATTTTAAGGTTACTTTTGTAATAATTCAAATACCCATAAATCAATTTTTCCAAATAAAATATCCCAATTTTTATTTTACTAAATGGAAGAGAAAAATTGAGTTATGAGTATTTGAATTATTAAAAAAGTAACCTTGAAATTTTGGGATATGTCATTTTTTTTCAAAATTTGAAAACACCAGAAAAAGGATCTAAGTTTTCTCTTTCAAACGCCAAAAAAACGAATTTAAAATCTTAAAAAATGGCAGAGTTAGCGATTTTTAAAGTGGAAGGTGCAGATCCAAAAATTTTTGAAAAACTAAAAATATTTCAAAAACGGCTAAATTTCAGTATAGGGAAAGCTGATGAAAACTTCCTTAAAATAACCCGATTAATCCAAAAACGCAGTAAAAAATATACTTTTCCATTTAAAATAAGAAAGTTGAGACCGACTTCCGGTATAAACGGAAGTGCCGCCATCTTGCAAATATTTTCATTTATGAGGACCTAATGCTTTGTACCAATGCTATGTACCAATTTTTAAATAAATACGATTATTCCAACTCCCAATACTTCTAATGTGGGGTTTAGACAGAACACCCTGTATAATCTTTTTCATTTTAACGTTCATCAAGTAGGTTGTAGAAGTCTAAATGCATCTTTAATTTAAAGGCAGATTCACACAAAAAGTGTCATTAATGTCATTCAAAACAAAAAAAAAAGTGAGGTTAGAATTGTTTAAATTTTCGCATGGTTGTCACCTTTCAACGACTACTTCGATGAAAACGAATATATATATTCTTATACAGTGTTGCCACGTCTAGTGAAATTTCACCAGATCTGGTGATTTTTATACTGGTTTAAATGATTTGGTGAAAACTTTTGTAAAAATTCTAATTTCTGATGATTTTTTAGAAATAGTTTTTCAGAAAATTGATGTATTTTGAAATATTTTTTTTAAATCGAATATTCGACCAAATGTTAGTAACGTGCAATCAAAAAAATAAATTAGAGTAGGCGGTGATTAAACTCCTTCAGATGGCAATCCTGATTTTTGATATCAAATGTCAGCGGAAATTTTGACAAGTTTGCGTTTAAAGCAGAAAATTTGTATTTTTATTAATTATTGATACAGAAAATTGTACATTTTTTAGTCATGCAGAAACTCAAATGCTAAATTTTCTCAAACACAAGTTGAAAAATCGAGAAATAGTTTTATTTTTCTAAATGTTATTTTACTCATCAAGGTAAAAAATTGCTAAAATGGTCCAAAAAGTACATTATTTTGTCCATTTCGGAGGGTTTTAGTATGTTTTTAACCAGAAACAAAACTACACTACCCCAAAAAATTAAAGGAAGAAAAATATTTCCTAAATTTTTTGGTTATTTTTGAAGGGCGAAAAATAGTCGTATCTAGATTTTTTGAAACCATTCTAAGGTGTTTTTGTTTTTGGTCCACGGACTTGGGGATTTTTTTTAGTTAAAAAACAAAAACAAAAATTATTTCCTTCGATTGCGTGATAACTATAGCACAGAAAAATTTTTGACAAAAGATCACAAAACTGGTTTTAAAAAAATTGAGATACGACTATTTTTCGCCATTAGGAAATATTTTTGTTCCTTTAATTTTTTGCAAAATTTCGTTAAAACTAAACCGAAAATTTATTAAATTAGGCCCAAACTAGTGTTATATTTGCATTTTTAATACTTTTTTTCTGAAACTGACTGAAAAATTACCAAATTGGATTGAAATTGATATCATTTTAGCGTGTCTCGTTTGATTTAGTTCGTTTTTTGAACCAAAGACTCATTTATTTTGCAGAATATTGTCAAAATATGTTTAAACACAACAAAAATAAATCTAAATTGATGTTATTTCGTTTGTTTCATTCGATTTAGCTCTTTTTGAGTGAAATTTTGTCAAAAAAATAGGACGAAAAATACAAAATATGGTCGAAAATGGTGTTAATTGCAAGATTTTGCTAAAACAAATCAAAAAAACATCAAATCAAGTCATTATTTTCCTTTATCAAGTGTTTTAGCATGTTTTTCAAGTAAAAATAAATGTTTTAGTGTCAAATTTAAAATTTAATTTAGCAACCTTGACTTTCAAATTCAAACATCACCACTAATTCAGTGTTACCAATAGATTTTTTGTCACCGGGTATTTTATCTAAAATCAAGACTGAAACAAAGGAAAATTTATTTTCATTGTTTTATTTAATCCTTTGGTGCACCATAATTTAATAAATTAAAAAAAATAATGAAAATTAAAGAATGCAACATTACTAAAAAAAGATTGGAATAAATACAAAATTCCTAATATTATTAAGAGTTTTTTTTCTTAGGTCGAAGAGGAGGTGTTTAAGCAGGCCTACATCCCTAAACGACTCACCGAAGTCATCGATTTTGAACGTGATATAAATGGGGCCAAGTCGGGACTTGTTGATGATTTAGTTTACAAAACTTTGATCGGTTTAAAAGCCGATTTGAGTGGGACTGTGCAACACCCGGAGATTTTAGATGAAAGAGAGTCAAGTTCGGATGAGAGTCTTGAAGACAGCAACAGTAATTTTGTTGATGCCTCGCGCCCCAAACATGAGACTCTCGACGAGAAAAAGGCGCGGAAAAAGGCAGTCAAGGAGGCACAAGCCGCGAAAAGGGCAACCAAAATAAAAAAACATGTCAAAAAACGGAAAGAGAGAGTTTCAAAGAAATAAATTTAAAAAAAGTTTTTGGTTCACATTTTTTCTCATTCTTTTTTTTGACAAAATAATTCAAGACAACCGACAAAACAAAAAAAGAAAGTCAAAAACAAATGTAGTTTAACTACAAAAATCTTTATCTATTTTTTTAAATCATAACGGGGCTTTGTGCCACTGCGCCACCACACCCCCGGCCAGTGTCTCTGCTCTAATCTAACATATTTATTTATACACCAAATTTTTTAGCTAATTTTATTAAGTCTTGAACACAAAAATGGACTGAAATGTGTAACACTGTTAATATGTTAAATCAATTTTTTAGAATTTCAAAAGAAACTCTTGAAAATTAGTATTAAATAAATAGTTTGAATGTTTGAAAAACAGTTAAGATTATTCTTTAAAATCTTTGATTATAACACAAAATGAACAATGTTATAAGATTTTCTGTCTCAAGTTTTCTTCATCTTGCTTTCACAAAAAACGAAACACGTGGAGATTACGTTTAATTTTGACCAGAAAATCGTTTTTTTTTGGCTGAAAAAAAAAAGTCAAATAAAATTCAGGGCATCAGAAAGTTTCAAGGAAATAAATTTAAAAAAAGTTTTTGTTTCACATTTTTTCCCATTCTTTTTTTTTGACGAAATAACTCAAGACAACCGACATTTTTGAACAAAACAAAAAACGAAAGTCAAAAACAAGTACTTTAACTACAAAATTTTTTATCTATTTTTTTAAATGATAACGGGGCTTTGTGTCACTGCGCCACCACACCCCCGGCCAGTGTCTCTGCTCTAATCCAACATATTTATT